CTTATTTGTTCTTATTCTTGACTTAATTACTTAAAATCAAGATATCATAACAATTCCTGGATGTATTATTGCTGTTTTAACAACTGTAGAAACCAATGCAATTGGAGTTTAGACAGAGAGAGATAGAAGAAAGCAGAAATAACAATGAGCTTAGCCTGCAACCCTAAATTTTCTGCTGTTCTAGGGGAAAGGTTGTCCAACTCACAGTATTTGAGGAAGGGGCTAGTCTTGTTCCTGGGTCAGCCTGCTGTACAGCTCTGCTGTTGGGTGTTTCTGTTCCGTACCCCTTAGATTGGGTTGCTTATGTGCCAAAGGACTTTGTAGCAGCAGAAGACGAAGCCTACTCTTCTGGCTGGACAGTTCTCTCTGGTCTGCTCCTAGAAAGATTTCAATTTTTCTCTGGTCCTCTCCACTTCCAGAGGAACTTTGGTGCTGCCAGTATCTTCTCATCCTCAGTCTTCTTTTATATTTACCTGGTCATAGGAGGGATTTTTTTCCCCATGGAATCTGTATACTTGCCCTTGGAATGACCTACTTTTTTTTCTCCCCTCTTCCTGGAACCTAAGATGACCAAGATAGAGGTAGACTGTTTCCATCTAACTGCAGTCAATCACTTCTGAATGAGAAATGTCTCCAATTCCACCTTTAGGGCTTTCAAAACAAGAGAACTCCTTTTCATGTATCTTGTCAGAAATCTGCAATGACAAAATATTACATTCCTAAAGTGAAATACCTTCTTCACGAATTAGTCAGTTCTTCAGATAAATAGAACTGCTATCATATCAATGTATGCATAGATATAGAAGCATGCAGGTAAATGAGAAGGGATTTAGTAGAGAAGCTGGCTTAGTAGAGTAGATGACTGCAGAGGCTAAGCGGGTCTTATAACAGGCTTCCATGTCTAAGGCCCTATTGTGCTGAGAGGCTCAGTGCAGGTAGGAGGTAGTCCAAGTGGATGGTGTGACTTTCTGTCTGACCCTGAAAGCCTGGAGACATAGGAGCCACTGCTACAAGTCCTGAAGTCCAAAGCCTGATGGTTGTTGGCAGAAGCAGATTCTAGGTCTAGAACCCTCTCTGCCTTTTTATTCTATTTGGTGACCCTCACTCACTTTTTTAAGATGTCTTCCCACAGTCAGGGTGATCTTTCCAACTCAGACCCCTGAGTCAGTCCTCTGGAAACCGCTTACAGTCACAGTTTGGCCAGTCCAGTTATTGTAACCAAATGCTGAAAACAAATAGACTTATCTTCTAGAAGAAGAGTTAGTGCCTACTGACCTTTGAGAATAGTTCTTCAAATATCTGGGTATCCTTTTATCCAGTCTAGTTTACAGCTGAAATTTAACCAACATTTATTTTTCTTCATTAACTTGGTACTCATATGCTTGATTTTAATCCTGACTTAATCCCCAAATAAATTCAATGAAATAGTAATCATTCTGACTAACATGACACACAACTGAAAAACCACTCACCCTTTCCTAACAGTGGACATAAAGTCCTTGGGTGATATTACTCACGGTCTCTTAATATCCCAAATTCAAAAACTGTGATGAACAATTGATAATGCTTAAGTACTCATAAAGCCAATAAATACTATATTAATAAGCTAGCAGTAAGAGAAATAAAAGCATATGTGTTATCCACATGCATGCACATATACTCAGAAACATATTCAGAACAAAATAATGGGGGAATATTCATGACAATGTAGTACCTGTTGTCTGTAATTGATCATATGATCAAAACAGATTTATTATCTTTTTCTGCAACTCTTTTTTCCCAGAAAGAAAACTATCTTAAGCATTTAGAAATAAAATTTTCATGAATTCCCTGTCCCAAGGCAATAGTGAGCTAGAGAGGTTCCCATTACAGAGATTTCCCTCTTGCTCCATTATTTTTATTTTATTTTAGATCTTGAGAGCTAGTTGCTTATTGCTCTAACTAAATCACTAGTAACTCTGGCACTTGGCAGTTTTTTAGTCTTCAGCTGTAGTCTTTACTCTTTAGCTTCTAGCAATAGTGAATGTCATCAGTAGACAGTATAAGCAGCAGCAGCTTTACATTCTCATGCAAAACTAAAAAAAATCCTTTAAAATCAAATGGTTTCAGGTTTCTGAAGCCCTCTGTAGTGTTGGGAGGGAGGGAAAGGGAGGGAGAGAGAGAGAAAAAGAGAGACAGAGAGAGAGAGATAAAGAAACCATTCATTAAGAATCTTATAAGAAGCCTCTGGCATCTAGCTTTAAGATGTTTTCAATTGTGTATTTTAACTTCTGTGCTGCAAACTGAAGCCTTTATGCATGAGGCCCTGGGTTCAATTCTTCAGCACCACATAAGCAAAAAAAGCTGGAATGGTGCTATGGCTCAAATGGTAGAGCACTAGCCTTGAGCTGAAGAACTGAGGGACAGTGTCAGGCCCAGAGTTCAGGCCCCATGACCAGCAAAAAAAAAAAAAAAAAAAAGAGTTAAAAAATACCAGTAAAAGCACAATTTTTTTATTATAAAGGTGTTGTACAGAGGAGTTACAGTTACATAAGTAAGGAAATGAGTATAACTCTTGTCGAACATTGTTATCACTCCCTTGCTTTCTCCTGCTATCCTTCCCTCCTGACTCCCCTACCTCCCCAAGTTGTAAAGTTCATTTCCAACATAGTGTTTTGTATCACTGTTGCATTGGTTCACCTTTGTCCTTTTTCTCATCATTTCTGTGATTCCCTTTCCCATCCCCAAATCAGATAACCTTATATACAAAACAAAGGGTACTAAAATAAAATTAAAAAACACTGACAACAAGAGGTAAACCAAAGGGGGGAAATAAAAGAAATAGAAGTATCTGTGTACAGGATCCCTCCCCCATGGTATAACCCCTGCTTTCACTGTATCTGATGTTGGTATAATTTGTGGAGGGGAAGGGAAAAAACAAATCGTTTAAATAGAGATACAGGTGGATCCATTGCAACAATGAGATGTACAAGTCATTATGTGGAAAAACGAACTTTACAACTTTGGTGGTGGGGGGAGGAGGATTAGGTGGAGGGGCAGGGGGAGGATGAGAAGGGATGGGAAGGGGAAACAAAGGAGGAGGCTACAATGCTTGATAAGAAATGTACTCATTATCTTGCCCATGCAATTGTAACCCCTCTGTACAGTACTTCACAATAAAAAATAGAATGAAATAATAAAAAAGAAGTAACTGTGTACAGTACAGTAAGGGAAGAAAAATTTCTTGTTTCTATATCTTGTAGTTCATTTCAATTATCATCATTTTATAAGATCATATCTACATAGCTATGAGCTATTGTGATCTTCTGCTAGGACTATCCTAGACATATATTAATTATTACAAATGAGGGAAACCAAGCAGCCGATATATTTTGGGTCTGGCTTGTTTCACTTAATACAATGTTTTGCAAGTCTTTCCATTTTCTTATAAATGGAGTGATGTCATTCTTTCTGATAGAAGCATAGAATTCCATTGTGTATATATACCATGTTTTATTGATCCATTTATCCACCAAGGAGCATCTGGGTTCATTACATGTCTTAGCTATGGTAAATAATGCTGCAATGAATGTAGTTGTGCTGGTAGCTTTAGTGTGGCTTTGTTTGTGATCATTTGGGTAAATGCCCAGGAGTGAGATTGCTGGGTCATAAGGGAGCTCTATGTTTAATCTTTTGAGGAACCTCCATACTAATTTCCAGAGTGGTTGAACTAGCTTACATTCCCACCAACAGTGTAGTAGTATTCCCTTTTGGCCATACCCCTTCCAGCATCTGTTATTATTTGTTTTCTTGATAATGGCCATTCCAACCTGGGGTGAAGTGGAATTGCAATGTAGTTTTGATGTTGAACATTTCTTCATATGTCTTTTGGTCATTCTCATTTCCTCATTACAGAGGTCTCTTTTTAAGTCTTCAGCACAGTTATGAGTATGGTAGTTGTTTCATTGACGATGTGTTTTTGAAAGGTTTGATTTTTTTGAGCTCTAAGTATATTTTAGATATGAGATCCTTGTCTGTTGTATAGCTATGGAAGATCTTCTCCCAATCTGTGGGCTTTCTATTTATCTTATTAGCTATGTCTTTTGCCATGCAGAAACTCTGCAGTTTAATGTAATCCCATTTATCAACATGTATTTGATTTGTAGTTTCTGGGTCATTATTATAATGCTGTGCCATGGAACCCTAGGGTTTCCCCTATTCCTTTCTGTAATATTTTCAGGGCATCTGATTTTTACATTGAGGTCTTTGGAGTTGATTCCAGTGCAGGGTGAAATATAAGGATCCAAGTTAAAATTTCTACACGTGTATAGCCAATTCTGCCAGTGCCCTGTTGAAGAGGCTGTCTTTCCTACATCCTGTCTTTTGGATTCTCTTATCAAAGATTCGGTGGTCAGATGGCTGTGGGTTCATTTCTGGGTCCCCAATTCTATTCCATTGGTTCTCAGGCCCATTCATAAAAAAAACTCACAATTTTATTTATAAATTCCTACCAAGATAGACTAGCTTCAGGAAGTCAATTTGGTTTACTTTATATTTTAAAAATATTCATACTTTAGGCTGGGAAGGTGGCTCAGTAGTATAGCGCTTGCCTTGAGTGAATGAGGCCCTGGGTTCAATTCCTCAGCACCACATAAGCAAAAAGAAAAAAATCTGGAAGTGGTGCTGTGGATCAAGTGGTTGAGTGCTAGCCTTGAGCTGAAGAGCTGAGGGACAGCGCCCAGGCCCAGAGTTCAGGCCCCACAACCAGACCCCCCCCAAAAAAAAACTTAAAAAAAATTGATACTTAAGTTATTTTAACAGTTTTTATGCGTTCAAACTGTTATGTAGATATTGCTATATACTCATTTATAAAAGAGTATATCTGCTTGTAGAATAGATTTGATGATTTTCTAAAGCAGTTATAGTAATTATAAATAATATTAGTACATATTAACTAAGTAAAGGCTTTGTAATGACTCAGGACAAATAGAAATAATGCCCACCACACAATGTTTATTCATTTATTTCCGTTCACCATGGCGAATACATCTAAAGTATGCTGAACCAGCTGCCAGAAATGCCAGGCCAAATGTTGCCATCTTTATCCAAGAGAGCCATGAGGCCGAGTGACTGTCTTCGCTGACAATGCGAGTCCTCAGGGGCTTAATGATTCTCTCTCTCTGGGTCAGGATGGCTCTCCGGGCTCCAGCCCATTTCCCTGGCCCCTGCAGGCGGTACTGGTATGGAGTACAGGGGCCAAAGAAAACCTCCACGGCCAGCTTTGGATCTGAGAGAAAGAGAAACAGCAGGTTGGGCTTCACCCCCACCAAGGTGGCAATCTCATCCATGTACTCAATGTGGTCCACTTGGATCGTGTGCCGGGCTGTTTTCACGTAACTGAAACACAAGGGAAGAGATGTATGACATCCTAGAACTGTAAGACCTTTACTTTTGTTCACTTTACAATGTAGAACCTGAGAACTAGGAGGCTGTCCTGACAAACAACACTTCTCAGCTGTGCAACGGCACTGTAGACACAGAATCTGTGCTTCTGTGCATACTGCCCATTATCATTTGATTGTGGCAGGGTGATTGAACTGCAGATTGAGCTTTAAAGTGATCTTTATCTGTTAAGATAATCTTTTTTTCCCCAAAAGGGATCATGCTCTAGTAAATATTTCCTTCTGCACTGTATAGTTGCAGCTCCTCCGTGTTTTCAGTCAAGGAGTCTGGAACGGACAAGCAGATAGTCATTGATAATCTGACCCAAGGAGCTTTATAGCCACCATGGGGTAACGAGGTGATGAATGTTGTCTCCTTCGGAGAGCAAATTGACTTCAGTTCTGCTGGGAATGGTGGGTGCTGGGTAGATCAGTTGCTTGAGATGTGAAGATGGTGCATACCATGGACTGCGAATTTCAAGAGGCCACAGTCACAAGGTGGATACTGTGGATTTGATGTTTGCTATGTTTTACTTTCCATATTTGGAAATAAGGTGTTTTGAGGAAGGAGGGCCATTTCTAAAGTTCTACAAATGCATTTTATAGAATGTTCAGCTGCTGTTCGATATGAGGCAAGGTAGTGTATTTCCCTGATGTGATAGTGTCACTTAAAGGCGGTGTCAACTTGGTGATAGGTGGAACTAGCATCTGTCCTGCATGAACTGAATGTTTGTTCCATGTGACAGGCAGTTCCTTCAATTTAGTGTTCATAGCTTTCACAGCTGAGTAGAAAAAGATGTTTCAGTATTGTCACATAGAAACAGCAGTTCCTCCATTTTTATACTGCTTACCATTTGCTTTGTGAGTCATCATGTTGTAAATGTTTAGCAACATGCCTCTCGTAGTGAACACAAAGTAAAGTTTTAATGTATAAAATAGAAATATCTACCCATTCTTTTAAGTACTGGTGAAAATTGCACTTAAAAGATACTTTTACTGCAAATGGTTTTCCAAAGTTTCTAAAACTGATTATAAAGTATGTAGGAATCATGGCAAAATGTCTAGGGAGAATGAATTCCATGTTTTTATATGAAAACCATTAGAGTGCTGATATAAAGAAGCAAGATTAAAGTACTAATGTCTATGTTTTCTGTCTACGTTTCTTCCGTCCATATTTCAAAGAATTGGTTGACTCTTTCTTTTGGGTTTCATTATATGACCAAAGACATATTTTACTTGCAAGACACATTTCTCTTAGCTTTTGTTTCTGGGTTCATGGAGGAGAATAAGTTTCATGTCTTTAAAGGAAAAAATAGAAATAGAAGTCTGGACTAAAAGAGTCTAGAGACCCATGGCAAGATGTTAGTGGGAACTGGGCAGGACTTCTGGGAAGTCTGAACCCCAAGATCATCTTCTCATCTAGAGCTTCACCTCAGCAATGATTCCTACATCCTACTTAATATATGGCACCCCAAAGTCTACAAGTATTTTAGATTTAGGCCACAACCATGGTAGTAAGTCACATAATTGTGAAGGAAATCAGACATGATTTGGAAAATAAGACCAGCTTCCTGAATTATGGTGACATCTCAGAACAAAGAACAATAATGATTGAGATTGAAGTAGAAGGTTTCATTTCAGATTCAGTATGATGTAAAGAGAATAAATCTGCATTTAATTGCTGTGCTATAAAACAATATAGCATAGGGTATGGAGAACAAATGTGATTGAGTAAGATGAGGATCCTTATTTGAAATTCCCTTATCACTATGGTTACAGATTCTTTACTTACCGTTTATCCATAGCCCTTTTTCTTTGAGCAATGTTGGCCATCATGGTCTTTGTTGAGGGTAATTTGCTTAGCCCTAGAAGGGAAATATCCAGTGTGTTAGTATTTGTGGAAGAGAAGAAAACCAGTCAAGAGAAAGGAGGATTAACTTTGTTCACATACCTTTGAACACTCGTGTAGCCCAGCGAGACTGCAGTTCTGCAATAGGCAAAACAATGCCCAGTGGCTGGATGAGCCCGATGACAGCTAATGTTGGCTTCTCCAAGTCAGGAGGAAACATCAGTTTATACAGGGACACTTCATTATTAGCCACTTCAATCAGACCATCAAGGAAAGGAAAAGAAAAAGAATATCCTGTAGCAAAAACTACAACATCCACATTCTCTTCTACAGTGCCATCTTCAAAAATGACATCTCTCTCTGTGAACTCCCTCACATTAGGCTTCACATGGACTCTTCCAGAAATTATGTGATTTGGCAGGTCATCACTGACAGTTGGATGCTGACTTAGAAGTCTGTATAAAAAAGTAAAAGCCATCAACAAGAAGCTATTTAAAAAAGAAAGTAGTGAGTACAATGAGGAATCAAAGCTAGCAAATTGGATTTTCCTGTAAATCTGTGCAGGTCCCTGTCTGCCTCTCAGAACACAGGGGAGTACATTGTAGGCTGAGTGCTTAGTGGCTACCTCAATTCCACATTTCTCCAAGTTTCCCATTATTATCTTGAAAAGTATGTGTAGATCTTGTGTTGTGTGTCATATGTTTATCTTAGTATTCAAATATTTACACTTCTTAGAAATGAAAATGACCTGTGATTGCTATTCCAGTAGAAAACAGTCATAGTTTGAATCTTCCTTCCACTTCATTTTCTACCAAATTATCATTATTGTAAGCAAAATCCATGTCTAAATGAGATGTAGAATATACTTATTACAGAATTTCCCACATATTTCATATGCATTTAATATGCATTCTAGAGAGGAAGAGTAAGAAATAGAGAGGACAGAGATGTTCATTTGCTGAAATTAGCCCTTCTTATAGACAAACATGAGCCTTCCCAGAAATTCCACTCAGAGGACTTATGTTCCCTCTTATTGGGAAACATGATGCTATGTTACCACTCTGTCCAGAAACCTTTGTTTAAAGAACTTGATAAACAATCCAGAAAGACTAGCTACTGATGTCTTAAATTAGATTATATCTTTAAGTTCCCAATACTAGTTTGTGTGGAACTTGAATCTCCTTAAGATCTCTTCCTCTTTTTTATGGATGCTGACCTTCTTTTCTCCTCTACTTCCCACAAAGTATGTGTCCTGATTTTCTGAATCTTTTTTCTCTCTAGGGGTTCAGTTACATAGAGATGATATTTTTTTCTTGGTCAGTTCCTGGGAGCTCTTGTCCTGGGAGACCACTTAGGGTGATGGTGCTGCATATGGTACGAAGCAAAGTGGACAAGCTCTCTATGGATCAAGGTGTAGGAGCTAGGAAGCAGTTCATCTTTTGTTGAAGTAGCTGGAGAAAGTCATTCTGTCCTTTCCCTCCTAGGCTTCTTAGAGAGTGCTACTCATTTCACCTTTTTTTTCTAAACCTCATCAGTGGTAGGCAGGACACTGTTAAAGAGAGCTGATGTGGACTTTCACCAGCATTCTACACAAAGTTCTCCTGAAGATCTATCAGGTCTCATGTTAGAGATCCTTGAAATGAATCTTCAGGCACTGGTCTACAGGAAAGAAAGACTTGCATGGAACTTAAAGACTTAATGAGACTTCTTGTTCTTTACCTCCAACAAATGATTGGCTCAGAGACAGAGAGAGAGAATAGATGTAATTGGGATTTGAGGGAAAGGGGATCCTATACATGCTTTTCTGTTTCCAGAACCTTTCTGATTTTTTGGTAATTAAACATTTTAAAGATTTGACTTTAATAGTCATGGGATTGTGTTTGCACACACACACACATATATACATATATGTATATATGTGTGTGTATATACACATATACATGAATATTTGTATATGTATATGTGTGTATGTTTGTATGTATGCATGTGTATTTATCTGTCTCTCTATAGATATATGTTTCTGTCTCTATATAGCTATATATATTCTATATATAGCTATATAGATATATATCTGTGTGTGTGATTGTGATTCCTGTTAGAAAACAGGTCATAGATTATGAGTCTCCTTCCACTTTATTTCCTACCAAATTATCATTTTTAGGCAAAAATCCATGTCCAAATGAGATATAGAATTTATAACAAAATTGCCCACACATCTATTCAGATATTTATCAAATGTGACTAGTTTGTTGTCTTAAGTAACTCTACCCCAGGCAGCACTGAATTAACATTCTAGAGGGGAATAGATAGATAGATAGATAGATAGATAGATAGATAGGTAGATAGATAGAGCATCAAAACATGTGGTACACCATAAACATATAGAATAATTCATAAATTAGAAAGAAAATCCAAACTTGCCCCCATTGCCTAGAAATATGTTTTGGCTGCTGCCTTGTTGTAGTCCACTCACTGACTGTGTTTCTTCCTTTCTTTGCCTCAGTATGCGCAAAGCTGCTTCTTAGGTCAAGAACTTTTAAGATCTTGCAGATCCTTCTATGCAAATGTTTCTTCCAGTCTCTTTTCATTGTGGCACCTTCTTGCTCCTCAAGTCTTAGCTTAAAGACCATTCTCAGAATTATCTTCTTGATCATTTCAATTGATTAGCTGCATGCTCCCATCCTCAGATACTCTTGACGTTTCTTTCATTCAGTTCTTTCATAGTTATCCTATTTGGCAATTTCTTTAATTATTTGTTTCCCTCCATACAATGCAATATTATTCTACATCTGTAGCATAGTCCAAACTCATGAAGGATTTTTAATGAATGAGCCAATAAACGCCACATTTCTTTGTCTCATTTGTTGAAATATTTGAGGAATTTCCTTTTCAGAATTGCCTTTAGAGACAAGTAAGTGCCCACATAATAGTGATATTATTAAGTTGGTTGCTGGTGGCTCACTCCTGTAATCTTAGCAACTCAGAAGACTGAAACCTGAGAATTTCAGTTTGAAGCCAGTTCTGCCAGGAAACTTTTTTAGACTCTTATCTCCAACCACCAAAAAGCCAGAAGTGGAGCCATGGCTTAAATGATATAGTGGCAACCTTGAACAAAATAGCCTAGATGCTGAGTTCAAGCCCTAGGATTGGCACACACACACACACACACACACACACACACACACACACACACACGCAGAATATTTTGTCATGTGTGTGTGTGTGAGCGCACGTGCATGTGCATGTGTGTGTTTAATCTATCTCTCAGATATTGCTATAGTAATATAGAGATAGTATTGGAAGTTAATTAAAAAAACAAAGTTTATTTACTCAGCTCCCAATTCTGAAGACCCAGGGTTAAGGGGCTTATCAGGGGAAGGCCTTCTTTCTGGAGGGGATCTTACAATCTGAAGTGACTCAGGGCACTGAGAAATAGAATGACAATTCAGTTTTCTCTTCCTCCTCTTTCAAATCAGTAACCTCTATGAATTATCTACACCTGCCTCCCTTCTAAAAGCACCACTCCAAATATCATCAATACATGACTTGGGAATTTAATTTTCCAACAAGTGAATTCTGGAACACTTCTTTTTTAAATATCATTTCTTCATTCTGTTTATTTTCTTTTCTTAATTCTGCTTCTTAGTGACTAGACTTCAGTCTTTTACCTTTTCAACAGAAGCTAAAGATAAGGGCTGGGAAAGTGGCTCAGTGGTAGAGTGCTTGCCTTGCACGCATGAAACCCTGGGTTCGATTCCTCAGCACCACATAAGCAGAAAAAGCCTGAAGTGGCATTATGGCTGAAGTGGTAGAGTGCTAGCCTTGAGCTGAAACGCTGAGGGACAGCGCCCAGGCCCCGAGTTCAGGCTCCATGAACGACAAAAAAAATGTAATTTCTGAGCAAAGAAGCCTCTACAGCATTAGACCTGAAGTCATAATGGCTCTTTTGCAGAAAAAAAAGACCACAGAGATCTTGTTCCATGTGAACTTGCCTGACATTTCACCTCAACTTCAGCTAAGTCAAATGTTCCACTTGGGCCTCAGAGTACCCCATTCTGACATCTGTCATTATATTAACCACATTGCCTTGCCCTGACCTGTTTTTATGTCTTTCTCTGTCCTCTAATGTTGAAGTTTTGCTCAAGGAGGGGTATTATATTCGTGTGTGTGTTTGTGTGTGTGTGTGTGTGCGTGTGTGTGTGTGTGCATGGCTGGCATAAAACATTTTAATGTGCTGGGTGTCAGTTGCTCATGCTTGTAATCCTAGCTACTCAGGAGGCTGAGATCTGAGGATCCTGGTTTAAAACCAGCCTGTGCAGTAAACTCGGTGAGACTCTTATCTCCAATAAACCACTCAGAAAACCAGATGTGGCACTGTGGCTCAAGTGGTAGAGCACTTCCTTGAGCTGAAGAGCTGTGGGACAGCGCCCAGGTTTAAGCCCCATGACTGACAAATTAAAAAAAAAATGCTGCTACATGAATAGACTGTGAAAAGCAAAACAACTCATTGTAATCTATACTTTGTGTGTTATAAGTTCTTAACATTAATTAATGTATTAGATAGGTTAACCAAAATCCATGTCAATTGCCAGCTTCTTGAAGGCCAATTCCATTCTATATCTACACTTAATTGCATATATGAGGTCCCCTGGTTATATCACCTGTGCTTGGGTTGCAGGCCATAGTGGGAATGATTGAATCTGGAGTTCAGTATCTTCTCCAGGTAGTTATTAATCAGTGATGTAGTTAATATTTTTTGGAGAAAGCTATTGAACCGAGTGAAAAATGAACTATCCATGGGATAACCATTCTCCCAAACACGGTGCAAAATCCACGATCCTCTTCTGGTGCTGAGGAACACCTGAGGGAGACAGGAATAGAGCAAGCTGGCAGTATCGAGAGAGAAACTTTTCTACACTTTACTTATTACTCATTTTTAAGACTGCTCATACTGTGGAAGCTCAGAAAAAGCAGTAAGTTACAGACTTTCAGTAAAGGAATGTTTCTATAACAACAAATTTTATGAATGAAACTTTTATCAATGAAAAGTAGAATATTTTTACTAGTCTATATACTTTGGACGCATTATTTTCAAAGTATTCATTGATACTATTATCACTGTGCTTCACATATAGAGTTTGAATTTAGAAATGAATTAGCATGTTTACTACTATATAATTCTAGATTGCTACTCATTACAACAATGAGGTGTACAAGACATTATGTCGAAAAACGAACTTTACAACTTTAGCAGGGTGGGGGGAAGTGGGGTGGTGGTGGTAGGAGGATGTAGGGGTGGCGGGGGTGGAGATGGGAAAGGATGGTATGGGGAAACAAAGGAGGAGGCAACAATGCTTGATAAGAAATGTACTCACTATCTTACCCATGTAATTGTAACCCTCTGTATGGTATTTTCACAATAAAAAAAATTCTAGATTGTCTTGAAATAAAACTGTACATATGAAGATGTTATTAAAAATCTCACTGAAATTTACTGAACAATAAAAGGGTTTGGAGATATAGAAAGAGAGAGTAATAGAAGTGTTTATTCTGACAAAATATAATATTTGCCTATGTAAAATACCATAGTGAAATCCTTAGTATAATTAACTTGCACTAAAAAGAATGATCGGAGAGCAAATCAGTCTCTGTTTGGCATTGGGTATCAGAGGAAAGGAACAGGTGAACAGAGAGGATGAATGAGGGTGAATGTTGTTAAATTTCTTCATATGCATGTATAAAAATAAAGCAATGAAACATGTTGTTTTAAGAAAAGAGGGGGAGATAATGCAGAAAGATAAGGGAAATGGCTGATGGTGCACAGTGTATGCAAAAATGGAAATATCACAAAGAAAAAGAGAGGATTGAGTTTGCACATTTTACAAAGTTAATTAGCTCACTGAACAGTAATCTGTTTTCTAGTTTGTTCCCATTGTCTATATGAGGGATCTATTGTTTGTATTTATTCTCTGCTCAGCTAAGGTACATAGATTTCTCTGTCTTTTCTGGTCTTTCTAAAGTCATATCTGTCTTCTGGATGGCACATAAACACAGGGTTTCTCATTAGTGGAATTGCTAAAAACAAACAAACCTGTTTTGCCACACTACTGAGCTCCACAGCAATATCCACACCAGAATTCCCAATACCCACCACTATGATTCTCTTTCCTACAAAGTCCTCAGGACTTTTGTATTCTCGGCTGTGGAAATAACAGCCTTCAAATTTTTCAATGCCTGTGGTGAAAAGAAGATATTTTTTCATTACAAGGAGAAATTTCAATGTAATTCAATACATAGAAAAAAAGTTAAATTATGAATAATCTGAAAAAGCAAGACAGAGTCTGGGCCATTCAATTGAATACAGTTGTTTCTCAGTATATCATGGTTCACTTATTGTAGCTTCACTGTATCTTATTTTTGTTTTTCTTTAATATGTAAATAGGGATCCCTCACCTATTGTGAGAATTATGTTCCAGAGACCCCTGTGATAGGTGAAAATCTGCAAAGTAGCAATAGGTGAACCACTATATAGCAAGAGACAACTACATAATGCTGCTATTTTGCGGATAGTACATCTCAACATGGTATATCACTCTTCCTAGAAATCCAAGTATATGTTCCCATGCATCTCTCTCTCTCTCTCTATGGAGGTTATCTCTCAGCCAGAAAGAAAGTAAAAAAGAAGCCAAATATAGAATAGTTTGTCCTTTAACCTATAGATATATAATAATTATAAATTGTTTACAGATTTGATATTTGAACATTCAGAAGATCAAGCATTCTTATTTTACAAATATTTCTGTTAGTGGGTAGACCCAAAAAGATAAAGTATTTGTCATTCATAATTCACTTCATTGTTCACCCACATTGAGATCCTTTTATTTCCATCTGGGATTCTTTTTCTATTTACTTTGTCTTGATTTACAAGGAGGTTTGGAAGAGCACCCAGTGGTCAAAAAGGTCTTAAATGACTACTGATAGCAATTGATGGAACTAGAGGTGAATGGGAAGAGGTAAAGGGCAGAGGGTGTAGCTAGTAGGAAGGATGGAGACCATCCTTTGAATGGAGCAACAAACAGCTAGTTTTGTTTTATTAGCCAATGAAAATCCATGATACATAAATGCTAGTAAAGAATTTTCTCTATACTCTAAGGTTTCTAAATTTGTGGATACACAGGCTTTGCTTGTCATTTGTCTCTACACTCCCCCTTTTGAACTTAACTTCACTCTCTGAAAGTCAGGCCAAATAAATTTATAAAACTTGAAATGTCAGCTCTGTTGTTTATTGATATCTATGTTGAACTATATTAAGTAAAAAGCATTCATTGCTTTTTGCTTATGTTTCGATTTCAGTGTAGCATATTGTCTTGTTAACATATATGTTGGATAGTTATTGTTACCAAAAATTTTTCACTGAACTTTAATAAAATTCATACCCAATCATTTTGGCATGTAAATGATGTGTAAGAATCTCTGCAAACCTTGTGAACTCACCTGGGAAGGAGTGAAGGGGTAAGTAGGGGTCTGTGTGATGCCCACTGCAGACTAAGATTCCATCAAAGACCAAGGTCTCTTGTTTTTCATTCATCTCCACAACAACATCCCACTGTCCACTGGTGGAGAAGTCTGGACGCTTCCGCACACTGCACACTTTGGTCTGAAAAGGAGGGAAGAAATACAGGTGGCCCACTTTCCTGGGCCTCAGGCTTGATTCCTCCTTCCTAAGTCTCACAAGTAGGGTTCATCTGAGGCAACATAATAGTGCAATTCCCACTCCCATTCCTGGGAACTCCTGTAGTGAATATGCTGTACATTTTCAAGATAGTATGGGAATTTTTGTTTGAAATCTATTTTTTCGTGTAACTAGAAACAGTGGAGATTTAACCATGAAATAGCAGAGGGGGGACTGAAGCCACAGCAATGATATCTTCTTTCCAGGAGGACTTTCATGTGGAAGAAAGCAGGATTCTTTATACTTTTTGTATTTTAGTATAGACCTGTTCACTTTTCCTAGACTTGAATTTTGAGTTTCAGAGAATTAGTATTTCACCATAAACATCCAGAAAAGATGTTGGTATGTGTGAATTGTGGGTGCTAGTGTTAGATTTGAGAAATAGAATGGATGTGATTTATATGAGGTTGATTCTTATTCTATAGGCAATGGGATTTGGCTCAATGATTACTGCTACTGTTCTAAGTTCTCAAATAATTAGATATTTGTAAGGTCAAGGGCCCTTTACACTGCTGCACTGAACTGTATAAGAATAGGTTATGATGAGAAAAAATTTCCAACCTCATCTTCAACTGAAGTTTTCAAAACATTATTACAATAGAGGTGGTGGTTTTCTAAAGTAGAAATTCACTAGTAATCTTTCTGGCCACAACAAAAGAGGTTATGAATAACTGAGGTGAATGAGGTTTCATGTATATACACGCATTCACATGCACACACACACACATATAAACACACACATAAGGTTTCAATTATATTTTACCTTAAAGCAAATGTAATTCAGAAGACCAAAGTGTTTGGCATACATCCTAAAGTAATCCATGAGTTTAGTGTTATGCATATAGTTGGGGAAATGGTCAGGTATGGGGAAGTCACTGAAGCACATCATCTCCTTGGAGGTGTTGATGGTCACAGATTTGTAGATACTGGGCATTTTCTCTGAAGGATTTTTCTGTAGGAAGAAGGACCTCTTATTACAGCATACTTTATAATTAGAAGGTAATTAAAATAAGATATTTTAAAGAAAAAAATCTCAGGTGTAATAAATCAGTACATTGCCTTTATATTCTCCATGAATATTTTCTCCCCAATGATGATAAAAAATTACATTTAATCCACAATAAATCCTTTTTTTGTTGTTGTTGGTCGTGGGGCTTGAATTCTGGGTCGCTGAGGTCTTCAGCTCAAGGTTAATGCTCTACCACTTAAGCCACAGTGCCACTTCCAGTTTTCTGGTGGTTAATTGGAGATAAAAGTCTCACAGACTTTCCTGCCCAGGCTGGATCGGAACCACAATCATTAGATCTCAGCCTCCTAACTAGCTAAAATTACAGGTGTAATCCACTGGTGCCCAGCTTCCAAAATAAATCTTGTATCTGACTTCTTAATATGAAGGAGAGAAGGGAGAAACAGGAAAATGATATCTTTGAAATGTTGAAATGTTTGCCTAGTCTCCTAGGGCTAGTGAAAATACGCTTTAAAATGGAGGTAAATACATCTTCACACACAAGCTCGGAGACTTTGTTGCTAGCAATCTAAAATATGGAAAAAAGTGAAAGTCAATCCTCCAGACTATTTGGGAATGAGCCAAAATGCAAGTATGCAAATGTAATATGGAATAAAAACACTAGAAATAACAAATATGTGACTCAATATACAAATATTAAGTATTTTACATGTGATCATAACACAATCAGAAAGTCAAATTCTTGGAGATAAGCTGTTGGAAAATATTTTCTTTTTTTTTTTTTTTTTGTCGGTAGTGGGGCTTGAACTCTGGGCCTAGGCGCTGTCTCTCAGCTCTTCAGCTCAAGGCGAGCGCTCTACCACTTGAGCTACAGCGCCACTTCCGGTTTTCTGGTGGTTTATTGGAGATAGGAGTCTCACGGTCTCTCCTGCCCGGGCTGGCTTTGAACCGCGATCCTCAGATCTCAGCCTCCTGAGTAGCTAGGATTACAGGCGTGAGCCACCAGCGCCCGGCTTGAAAATATTTTCTTTAGAAAGTGGGGAAGTCGTAAATATTAGATAAAAATAATAAATCAAGATGTATTTGAAAATTTGGAGATTCCCATTAATAATATTATTAGGGTCGATCTTTAAATAATTAATATTGAAAAACAACAGAAATAGCTGGTAGTCATGCCTCATGCCTGTAATCCTAGCTACTTAGGAGGCTGGGATTTGAGGATCATGATTCGAAACCAGCTGGGGCAGGAAAATCCCTAAGGCTCTTATCTCCAATAAACTAAACAGAAAAAGGTGGAAGTGATGCTGTGACTCAAGTAGTATAATACTGGCCTTGAGCACAAAGAAACTCAGAGACAGGCTCTGAGTTCAAACTCCAGAACTAGCAAAATTCACTATTTTTTAACTTAAAAAATAGTAAAATATTCTAAAGTAACTTCCCCAAAAGGGCAATTGAAGAATAAAAACAACAAAGATATGAAACAAAGAATAAGCAACATAGTATGTTAAAGCTCAATATATGTTAAAGCTCATTATATGTAAGTACTCCTATTAGCACAAACAAAATCCCAAATGAAACTGAGTTTTCCTCATGTTAGTTATAAGAGACAACATGATGTTGAAGGATGGATCAAACATGAAAACATTAGTTAAAAGGCAAACTGGAGTGTCTGTGTTAATAACAAACAAATTGGAGGATGGAGGAAGATGGAGGAAGAGCAGCTAGAAGCAACGGAGCTCTCATGTAGAAACCAGTTGTAGTGTTCCAGTGAAAAATCCAAGGCTAGAGAGTCACACTAAGGTTGTCATCTTAATACAGAGAGTTTGGCCATAAGAAAAATTCAGGGAGCTTGGTTAAGGAGACAGATTTGAGCACTCACTGGCAGCTGCAGTGGCTGCTCCAACCATATCAACAGACAGAGCCTGGAACAAAGGCACCAGAGAGACTGAGTGACAGCAGCTTCTACTCACCACCAGCATGAACTGACAAGGAGTGGAAATCTTCATCCAGCTGACCACAGACCAATGCAGACCTTGGACAGCCCAAAACCCAAGGGAAAAGCATGAGTAACCTACAAGACATCTTCACTCCTCACAGAACAGCATTTGGAAGGTAGTCCCTTCCCCACCACCAGAGAAAAGCACCATCTTTGATACTGATGAAGATCGGGCCACAGCTGGCAGATAACTCAGGCCTTAGAAGCAAACACTGACAAGCCATTTTTGAACAGGGCAAAAGAACCTGCCAGCAGGGCTCAGCTCCACACAGGGGAAAGTTGCCCTTCCTAGGCAGAGCAATCTCTTCCCAGGGAAGGGTGACTTTCTTCATTGGGTAAACAGAGCCAGAGGCAGCCCTGCCCCTCTGCAGCACAGGCAGCATTCTCAGCTGCAAGAGGGTAAAAGAAAAACAATTCAAAACTGGAAACAGCATAAAATCTGAGAGTGGCTCCTGGCTGGGCAACAAGAGTATCTCAGGGAAAAGCTCCTGATTGCTGACAGGCTACAACTGCACCCACATTCAATCTCCCTTACAGTGACTCCAAGCTAGATGAAGGAAGGAGCCATCTCCTTCTTGTGTGACACTCAAAATGCAATCACCCTCCCACGGAACTTGTCTAAGAGAAGGATCACAATGTACTCGCAACTGTAAGGCAGAGCTTTGTTCTGCCTGCACAAACTAATTTAACAAACATACTAAGCAACAGGAAAATCAAACACCACAAGCAAGTCACAGACTCCACCAACAGACCGGATATGGACACAGGGAGACACAAGATCTCCCAAATATATCAAACATTTTTCCTACTTAAAAAAAAAATTCTGACCACGATGGTGATGGGACAGTAGGGAAACACTCAGCTCTCTCCAACCAAAAAGAGTTCGAGTTCCAATGCTTAATTTCCCCAAGAGACCAACAACAACAGAAAGACCAACACCTAGAGAAAAACAGGAGGCAGAAAAAAAACTAAAAAAGAAAGAAAAGGAAGAATGTCAGAACAGAGAAGCGTGAAGACCCCTCCCCCAACTCTTACTGGCTGCACCAAGCCCCCACCAGCCTGGCCCAGCGGAGGCTGCTGGAGTCCCCAGAGACACAAGGGGTCATCTGCAGATCACTTACACAGAAGATGCCTGAGGTACCAGTGTCAGACCTGCTGATCATGGCTAACAAAGAAACCTCCAAGCTGGGAGCCTGTAGGAAGATCCCTCCCCCACCCCTCACTCTCAGAGCAGAGGGGCTCCATCCTGCCAAAGCCACTCAGCCTCACGGTGGGAACCCCAGAACTACACAGGTCGCCCACAGAATGACAGAGCAGAAGACCTGCAAAGCACTGGTGCTGATCCGGAGAGCACAAACAGAGACAAACCTCAGCACTCAAAACCTGCATGGAGATCCCTCCCCACCCCTCAGCCAGAGGCTAGTGCACAGCCCGCCCGCAGCACTGCCCATCCTGAGGCACCAACCCAAACAGCATCAACAGAGGCAAAGACAGAGAAGAAACACACAGAGCCACCACCGCCTGGCCCAGCCCACAAGCATCTTGACTGAACACTGATTGCAGCAGCAACCACTGACCTACATCACACAGAAAAAACTAGCTCCAGGGTGAATACCCACAGGGGACAGTGTATCCCTCCTCAAGGGAGACCAGAGCTGGTGCAAACCCCCAGATCTTGACTCAGACCCCTACCCCAACACCTGGACTACCGGACCCACTAAAACTGGGAACTGTGTGATTGTTCCACCAGCCTGTGAAGCACACCCAGCTGGCCAGGCTAGATCAAGAGCACCCCTGGAAGGGAGCTTAAATACCCAAGCCAGGAACAGCCCCTATGGGTCACAATATCCAACAGTGGAAGAAACCTGAACTGTGTACTCCAGGCTGTGTAACCCAGGTGGGATACACAGAAGCACAACTGGCATGCCCCGGGCCGGGGACCAGGAGCCAGGACCAGGCCTGGGGACTCAGTGCCTGAGCAACACAACCAAGTTCTCCTGACTGAAGTCAGAAGCTGAGCATACACCTCAGCAGAGGGGAGAAAACAGGGAACTGCACCCCCTGGGAATCACACCCATGACAGCAAAAGACCTGGGTATCCAGGGCAAGAGAACCAGAAGCCCAAACCCCACCAGAACCCAACCCATATATCCCAAGATGGGAATTGGACAACTCAGGCTGCCAGCACCTGACAATAGTCAGGAGCTCAGGCTGGTAAGGTGGCTCAGCGGTAGAGTGCTTGCCTTGTGTGCATGAGGCCTTGGATCTGATTTCACAGCACCACATAAACAGAAAGGGCCAGAAATGGCACTATGGCTCAAATGGTAGGGAGCTAGCCTTGAGCTGAATAGCTGAGGGACAGTACCCAGGCCCAGAGTTCAGGCCCACAACTGACCAAAAAAAGTATATTAGGAGCCCATAGCAGACTCCAGCAACTGAGAGAGTACATCCAGCACACCCGATCTTGGCAAGAGCACCTGTAGAAGTAAACAGGAGCAGTCTAGGCTACTCAGTCCTTCTAAAGGTGGGAACTGCCAGTGATCTACAGCAGACAGCCGAGAACCCTACGTGGGTCAGACCAGCAGCTGGAGGTACAGACTCTCTCCGCCAACACAGAAACAGCAACCAAGCAAAGGCAAACACCGATTAACCAAAACAAAATTTCAGATTAGTCTCCAATAAACCCTGAATTTCCATGCAAAAATCACAGAGAAAAATTACAAGGTTTATAAACACCCAGGATAGCAAGCTACCACAAAAGCCAGTAGCCACCCAGGGGAGAGCCCCAGTGGAAGCAAAGCAGGAAGGGAAGACAAATGTTACATCCAATAGTTGCTGGAGGCAATGACTCAAGAATTAAATCGAGAAATAGACCAGAAATTTAAAGAACACAGGAACAAACTATCAAAAGAGATGTAGGACTTCGAACAGGAGATGCATGCAAAGACAGAGGCAGTAGACAACTAAGAGATGAGATTAGTACTTTGAG